TATATAGTGTATATATAATATATACAATGTATATATTCTCTCTAGATAAATAGAGATAGATATTCACACACACACACACACACACACACACACACACACACACACACGTATATGGATATAAAAGCTATAGAGACAAAGTGAGTAATGAGCCATGCTGCCAACCTAAAGCTGCTCTAAAGGAAGAAGATGGGTAATTTCCTCTTGTGTAATTTACAGCCTCTGAAAACTTGTTGTAGGTTATAAGTTGATTCAATTCAGTGGAAATCTATTAGTGATCTATATATAGACTTGTATATGAACATGCATAAAAAGAGAGAGACTGATTCCTGGTCATTCAATGGTTAACTACTTGACTGTTTATTCACAAGTCAGGAGTGACTCCACAAGAGAACAACATAGTCAATTACTCCTTTGTTTCCCTTTCATTTTATAGTGTCACTGAATCATACCTGGCTCAATGGTACACAGTGACAGACAAATAAATAGGCAGATAAATGGATAAAACCAACTTCAATATGGCTGTAGCAATCACTGATATTGTAAGGTATCATTCATGTCTCTGACATTCCACCAGTATTTTATAAATACTCTCCAAAATATTAAAAATTCATTTACACTAACTTTAGTGCTATTCTCTGCTTTTCAGAAAGTTAGCATCTTAGGGAACTCTAATGGCCTAGTGGCGAGAAGCTACACTGCAATACCAGAGGTGTGCGGTTCGAATCCACCAGTTGCTCTGCTGGAGAAGGAGGGGCAATCTCCTCCTGAACCAGTCAGATCCGAATTGATGGTACATGCACAGAAAATAATAAAATAAAATTTTAAAAAAAGAAACTATAATTCTATTTGTTACCTTTGGACTATCCTATATTTTAAAACAAGGCTGTTAAGATTTAATAATGAATTTATTATTTATTTTTAAATTTCATGATTAATTATACTGTTAATAATTAAGTTTCAATTTAGTGGATATATGAGATAGTACATTTGATTTAGTGACAAATAAAGAAGATATGGTTAGGACCAAATAGTTATAGGAATTTAAAAACAATTTTACTTTCTTTCTCCAGCCAAAACTTGGAATATTTGCTTTGTACTGAAAGAAATAAAACTTTAAAAATTGGGAAAAACATACTTCAATCAATATTTTGCGGTCAATTAGTATTTATTTCATTTAATGTGAGAAAGAAAATGATAAGTGATAGTTCCTTTGGGATGTCACAAAAGTTTACACAAATTTTGAAACTTTGATTTGCTATCACAAAGGGTGGTTGTAATTCTTTAAGAATTAAGGTATGAGTTCATAGAAATATATGGGTGTTTTCCCAACAGCATTTAAAATGACAACTTTCATAACAGTTACTGTTTAGAAAACTATACTGACTACCAGTAGTGATTTTTCTGTAAGGATAAGAACTGTGAAAATGAAATTTCCTCTGAATTTTAACACCGTTGCTTATTTTCAATATATTTCCCTTTACTAAAAATATGTTCATTTTCATCTTTGAAAGGAAAGAAATCCACATGCAGTCACATACCTGTGTCTGTTTAGGACCAATATCCATTCTTTCAAGGAGGTCCTTTAAAAAATTTGTCACACTTTCCCAGGGGTAGATACTGTTGGAACCATCAAGCACTATGACAATATCCAATTGAGTGCTACATTCTGCAACAAAAGAAGTCAGTTTTTCAAACTAGTGTCTATAATTTCAGAGGTATAACCATTTTTGTGGACAGAAGAGGCTTATTTTAAAAGATGAGCAGATATTATTTAAAAAGATACAGATTTTATTAACAGTTTTGGAAAAACTAAAAGTCATAGAATTATCTATTATGTTCAATTTCTAGTAAGTATCAAAATATCTATTAAGTTCAAAAGCAGCAATCAAGTAAAAGCTCTCTCTACATGATTTTTCATTAAAATTGTACAAAGTTATTCTTGGAAATTTTCTCAACATTTGTTTTGTGTCACTTCTAATTCTGTGTTCATTTCAAATGTGATTTCTTTCCCCAAAGAGATTCACTCTACAAGAAAGCTATGCGATGATGTTTAGCTGTGATGTTTAAACATGACTGTGTAAAGGGCAATTACACTAATATCAGTTCCCAAAATAGCTGAAGTTTGATTATATTTGAGCAAGGCAAAAACTGACCAAAATTGGTAATGCTGGTAGTTGAGAAAATATTTTAAGCTTATTGGTATGCCTCTGTGTACAATAGTGCTTCATTCATTACATGGAAGAATACTCAGTGAAATCTATACCTCGTACAGGAGCAATGGAGTTCACAACTTCAAAGGTGGGACTGACATCAGAACAGATTCCAGTTGTATAGTGTAAATGTCCACATCTATAGGCATATAAGGGACCACATGCCTTTAAAAAACAGAAAAAATAAAACACGGATAAGCAACATAATAAGAGATCCCATAAAGATTTGCAATGGTCATTGTCCTGATAATATTATTATTATTTTATACTTTCTTACCAGAAATCCTCCTTTGGGGTTGGTGACTAAAGTTGCTCCAAATGTCATGTTCTCCTTTACTTCTGTGACATTGGGAATTGAAGTATTAACTAGAAACAGGGGGAGGGTGGAAAACAAAGTGAAATTAAGTATCATTTCGTGAAAACATTCTACTTGTTTTGCTCCTATTTTTCAAATTCTTCCTTTGATTTAACCAAATAGCCCTCAAAGAATTATTAAGATATGTAATGAGCAAGCTAGGGCTGAGAAGCTGGCTTATAGCCCAGAAACTGTGTTGGGATCTAAACGGAAATAGTTTTGTTGAACTGTAAAAGAATGCAGAACTAGCCATGCAACGAGACTGTGGGATTGCTTCTTCACACATTGTTGCTAATTAAAACAAATCAAGTATTTAGTCCTAGAGTTTTGTAAACTATAACATAGTATTAATATTGGTCATATTATGACCAATGAGGAAATACAATTTTCTGACAGGTAAGGGAGACAAAAAAGGGAGAGGACCAGAAATAAAAACTCAAACATGGATTTTGACCATTACTTTTAACATTATGACATTTTAACATTACTTTTAACATTAAACATCATTAACTGAGCCAAGATTATGGCAGTAGATGGAAAATTTGGATCAAACATAATGTAGGCAATATATTTGACATTCAAAGTAGGACTACTGGATTCTGAAGCATGACAATGTGACAAAAACTTGAAAGAAGTTAAATAATTATGTTTTTTTAAAAGTTACTAATGACTTACTTTAAAAAAAAAAAAAAGACAGTAACAGCACAGGTTTACCAAGCCTTGTATACAACAGCGCTGGACTATTTGGAAATGGCAAAACTCTAGTTTAAGAAAGACTTATCTCATTGTTTATAACTAGGAAACATTCTTAAAACTATATATAGATTTAAAGTGGGAAATAGAAACAGAGATTCCTGAAGGGTCAGTATGATATCCTAGTCTGAACGTGCGTCTTTGCCCAAGAGTTTAGTCTGGTTGGTTTTAAAAGCACCTGGATTTAGAATATGATACAGACTCTCTCTTTCTCTCTCATTGATGTTGAGTCAAAAGTGATTCATACTGACCTTCCAGCAAGTTTTCTGAAGCTATGATGCACATGAGATGCCCATCTTTCTCCCTCAGAGTTGCTAGTGGGTTTAAACCCATAGAGAGTCATCGCTTTGAGTTGGCACTTCAGCTCCCTGCAGACTTCATCAGAGAGTCCCTATTATCTACACTAGTCTTGAATCACTGCCAACGAGTCAGACACAACTTAGAGCTGACCATCCTGGGGGGATTTCAGAGGCTATAAATAACACAGAAGTAGATAGGCCAATCTTCTCCCTTGGGGCTGCTTGTGGATTCGAACTGGGCTTCTGTAGATTAATAAAGAAATTTCCTACTCTACTACTACAAAAGACAAAGCAAAATCTTCAAAGGAGATGTGAAAAGAGCTGAAGTTAGGAAACCAAAAGAGAATAACACCCTCAGCATTTCACAATAAAAGAACTTAAATCAAATTCATGACTGGAGTTGCAATTCTCAAGAATGTTGTGAGCAAAATCTTGAATGATTCAGGAAATATCTAAAAAAGATGGAAGGAATACACAGATTCACTGTCCAAAAAGAGTTGCTTTAAATATACTCAAGAACCAATGGCACTGAAAGGAGAAGTTCAAGCTACATTGAATTCACCAGGATGGGGTGAGGGGAGAATTCCAAGATGCCAGGAATTGATGGAATATCAATAGTAGTTCAGCAAACAGATGCTGTTCTAGATGTGTTCATCAGCTAATTTCAAGAAATTTTGAAGACAGGTAGCTACCTGGTCAACTGACTGGAAGATATCTACATATGTTCCCATAAAAGAGAGAGATAGGGAGAGAGAGAGAGAGATACAATGGAATATGGAAATTATTGAAAAATAACATTATTATCACATGCAAGTAAAATCTTGCTAAAGATTATTAAGATTGCTTGAAACAATCAATATATTGGAAGGGACCTGCCAGAAATTCAAACTGGATTCAGAAGATGCAGCAGCACACACAAGGGTTATCACTGCAGATGTCAGATGGGTCTTGGCTGGAAGCAGAAAATATCAGAAAGATGTTTACTTATATTTTCCTGACTATGCAAAGGTATTTGGCTGTATAGGTTGTAATAAATTATGGTAATATTGAGAAGAAATAAGAATTCCAGAAAACTTAATTGAGCTCAAGAGATATTTATACATAGAAGAAGAAATTGTTATTCCAACAGAACAAGAGAACACCACATGGTTTAAAATCAGAAAAGATGTGTGTCAGTGTTGTATGCTTTCTCTAGACTTATTCAATCTGCATGCTAAGAAATAATCTGGGAAGGTGTACTATATGAAGAAGAATGTCATATGAGAATCAAAGGAAGACTAATGAACAACCTGTATAATGCAGCTGATACAACCTTCCTTGCTTAAGGTGAAGAAGACTTGAAACACTTACTAAGGAAGAAAAAAAAAACTACAGCCTTCAATATGGATTACCTTTCAACATCAGGAAAGAAAAAATTCTCACCACTGAATCAATAAGCAGCATATGACAAAAGTTTGAAGTTGTTAAAGATTTCCTTTATCTTGGATCCACAATTAACATTCTGGTAACACAATCATGAATTTAAAAGACATATTACATTGGGAAAATTTGCTGTCAAGAATCTCTCCAAAATGCTGAAGAGCAATGATGTCAATTTAAAGACTAAGGTGGTCATAATATTTTCTTCCATAAAACTGCTTCCTTTCAATGTGTAAGGAAAATAGAAGAAGCATCAATGCCTTTAAATTGTGGTGTTAGTAAAGACTACTGAATATCGTATAGACTGTCAAAAAAATAAACATGTCTCTTTTGGAGGAAGGGCAACTTGAGTCAAGGAAAGGTAACCCTGATGAAGAGGCAAGAGGCAAGGTTGGTGAAACTTTGCCCCACCTTCTTTGGGTATGATGTCTGGATAAGTCAGTCCTTGGAAAGAGACATTATCTTGAGAAAGGAAAAAGGCCAGTAAAAGAAAGGAAGACTGTCAAAAAGATGGTTTGACACATAATGGATATCATGAAGATGGCATAAGATACAGCAGTTTTTCCTCTGCCGTTCACAGCACTGTCATAGTAAATTTGATAGTATACAACAGTCATACCTCATTTCAATGCATCTTTTATACTAGGCCTGTAAAAGGAACAGACACACCACTAGGGTGGCTGACTTTGAACCCACTTCACAAGGGGACATTTCCACGTCAGCAATATTGATAGTACCAAAATATCTACAAAGTCAGACATGTCACCTTCATGCTCCTGCACATTTCCTACAATCATTGAGTCCAAGGTTCACTGCAAGACTCCAGACTTTACTCACAGTTGTAGGCTTTATTACAGAAATTGTTCTGAGTTTACTGTATTTGTAGACTTTTTTCCTGAAGAAAAAGTCCTAATCAGTGACTAAAATGCAAATAAAACTTGCTATCTTTCTTAAAGAAAGAAAGAAAGAGCAATAATAAAAATTATGAGTTTGGGGACCTCAGAAAAAGAGCTACAAAGGAGTATAATAATATATCTTTCTTCTGCCCAACTATCTGAATAACCTGAACTGTGGGAAGCATACAGTGGGAAGAATTTGAACAATCCAGCTAAACTTTGAAGACCAGAATATAGATTTAAACTGCTCTTGATGGCAGAAATCTCAGAGTTTGGAAATTGTGTTGAGTCAAGTATAAGCTATCTATTAAAAAGTTAAAACTATTCAAGGCCACAGAATAGAATCTAAAGATCTATACTTGCAATTAAAGAGCATAATTCAATAATGGTCTTGTGTGATATTTGATCTTATGAGACTGAGGTACTATTTGTCCTTAAGAGACTGCATTAGTAAACTCAG